AGATTAATGATAATTTGTAATTGTCCTGGAATTGACAAAACTAGATTCTTTATTCATTACTTATTTGATTAATTTTATACTAGTTTTTCATCAATATGTCCTTCAATTCAGTTTTGTTTGAAATTCTAATTATTAGACCACAGATTTTTATGCGTTTTTCAATTTTCACTAATGTTATTGAAGAAATGGAACCCAGATAAAGAATTGTTTCTTGTACATATTATTATAATTAGATATTTTATATATTTTTGCATATTATGTGTATTGTATGCATGTCTGTATCTTCAAATTTTCCATAAATGCATAAAAATTTGCAGCCTACATAAATGTTCTATTAATGATATTTTAACCAAGTGTGGGATACTTTATAATAATTACTCTTTAACTAACAAGATTTATGTTTTGGATCATTGTCTCTTGGAATATAGTAACGATTGAAAATATCAAATTTTTCAACATTATGTTTTAAATTTATTTTTTAAATATTTGAATATATGTATTTATTCATAATATTCCTTATTATATGCAAGTTTCTCATCCTTTGTTATATCCATATTAAAATATTATCTCTACAATGTTACTGAATGATCTTCAGTTTTTTTTTTCTTTCTTCATATTCCTTTTTTTCTTGCCCATCTAATACATACTATAGAATAAACTTGCTTTCTAAAATAAAAAAACGTGTTTCTAAAACTGATTTATAAACTTTATCACGTAGTTTGTACAACCTGTAACCTTTCTTTCTATTTATCTTTGAAATAAATAGCAAAGTTTATGATAATAATATAGCTATAAAACCTATGTTATATTTTATACTTAACGAATTATCTACATTAATAATTGTTTCCGGTGATGCCACATTTCCAGATACATAACTTTCTTATGCATATTAGGAGCACTCTTCTTTTAGAAAATAATTCTTTGTACTTAACCTCTCGGGCGATGGCGAATTGACTTATCATTAAAATTAGAAAATTTTTGTTTTAAAATGAGTTGACTCGTTTCGCGCTCTGAAAAAGTATTTTTCAATTTAGTTAATTCATTAGTTAACTCATCTAAGTTAAGAGGTTAATTTTGGTGGTCTACTAGATCAATATTTCAATAACAGTAGATTATGCCTTTTATTCACTATAGATTTGTTTACTATACAAGGTGTCCCATTTTAATCAATAAATGCTTTTACCTTTGAAGTTATTCATTATTTGATAAAATGTTTCAGACGAAACTTATTTTATTTCAAGAAAAAAATAATCCAGTGTAGATAGTTTATTTGTAAGTTTATGATATACCAAGGTCAACTTCATTTTTCTAAATAGAATTATTAATTTTTGACATTAAGAAAAGTATTAATCTATAAAAAGAATATTAAAAAAAGCACTAACTACTAATGTCGAAAAATCATTAGTTTCAATGTGTGAATTTGTATTATTAATAGACTTCAATGACGCATAAAGATAGTGCAAAATAATTATGATGATCGTATTTTGAGGCACTTTATTAAAAGAAAAAAAGAAAAAAAACAGTGCAAAACAAAACTAAAATTAATAACAAGCATTTAACATTAATAGTTCTACAAATGTTCAAATATTTTCCTGAACTTAACACATTTATAAATATCTCTCTTAATGTCATCTTGCACATTCATAAATGTTTCAAGAATGACGCTTCTAAATGCATTAAATATTCTCTTCTTCATATTTTTTACTGTTTTCTACATTTTTTAATATTCATAACAACATTAAGAGTTGTATTCATAAATATGTCGATGTTCAGAGCAACAAATTCAAATATTTGCAGCATTAATATTGAGTGTCTGTTTAATTTTGTTTTGCACTGGTGTATTCTTTTGTTTTTTTGTATTTTTAATAAAAATATGATCAATTGAATATTACATGAACGTAATAATTGTGTACTAACAATACGAATTTACAATATTGAAATTAAAATATTTTCAACATAAATATGTTTTTCGACATAAATATGTTTCTTTATACAGAAATGCATCGAATAATGCATAAAAATTATATGATTCTCAAAAAATGAAGTTAATCATTAAGTATTTCACGTGTAAACTTACAAACAAACAGCACTAGATTATTTTCCTCTTAAAATAGAACAGAAGTTTTGCATGAAATATTTCTTCAAATAATGAATAATTCCAAATAAAAGTATTTATTTATTAAAATGGGACATCCTGTATATTCAATAACTGAATGACTTTTTTGTACAATCTGATTAATTTTGTGAAGCTATTTAATTATCCAGTTTCTTTCTTCCATCAATTCTCTACTTTTGGAATTCATCTTGTTTAAATTCCTACACTTTTTTATGTCCTTGTTTTAGTTAATAATGCCAGGAAACAAAACATAATTAGAATTTTAAACAAAAAAATATCTAAAGCGAATATTCCTGTTAGATTATTTAAATTAGTAAGATTATTTAAGTGTATAAATACTTTCTTTCCACTCATTTCTGTACAGTATTGTATTAATTGTTAACAATGAATTGTTAAGTATGAAAAATGATAAAATTTTTTTTTTTTAACTGGATTCTATTTATCATCACTTGAAATCAATACATGAATACTTTCTTTCAAAACGTTTTTAAGAATTTTTAAAAATATCATTATATTCTTTAAGATCTAGACATAGACATGTGACATTTTTCTATACGATTCATTTGATATTGAGACATTGAAGATTGCTTTAAGAAGTAACTTAAATACCTATACGAGATTTTACAAATTTCTTCGTGAACTTCAACTTTTATTGTTTACTTCAACTTTTTATTCAAATTCAGATACGAGATATTTAATGGCTGATTTTGTGATGAATTGCATGCCAAAAAATGAAAATATAAAATAAATCTGTCTATAGTACATGTATGTACATCGTTGAAATGATTTAGTTGGCCTGTACAGAAAATACAAATGTGGTCGGTGTTGTTGATTCTCTATAAAATTATATTAATAAACTTCGTTTGTTTTGAGTTTTAAAAGCCCTTTATACATATGTACATGAGCATAGCACAAATTTGCAATGAACCAATAAAAATAGATATTTCAAACATTTGGCTTACATTATCAAAGAATGACTATTACAAAATATACTGAATTTATTAGATATTTTATCAGATTTATGTAACTGTATGTGATATGTGAATTTATTAAATGATTTATCAGATAATGTATAAATTCAATTGAACACCTGTAGTAGGACTTAAAAAGAAAATTAAGAAAACTTCAAATAACAAATAAAACAAAGGCAGAAATTAAAATTACCAAAATATGGAAGAATATTTCCATTACAAAAAAATTAAGAAAATGTATGCTAAAATTTTTATTTTTTAATAGTTAATTATTATTGATTTATTTTCAATGATTAATCAAGATGATCAAAGTTTTCGGAATTTTCAAGATTCAAGACTTAAAACTTATTAACATTTTCAACAATTTTAAACTCCGAATCATGTTCGAAGTGATTCGAATTTTTCGCTATACATAATGCTTCTTGATTCACGAGAATCTTTTTCTTATAATTAATTGAAGTTAAACAAAAATGTTAGAGAAGATAAAAGATTTAAAATAGATTATAAACTGATAATTTTTATTCATAAATGCAATAATGCACAAATCCTTTTAACATTTAACATTCTACACAAAAAAGTATTAAGGTAATAATATAATCGAAAAATAAAAGATTTAATCTTTCTAATTTTGTAAAAGTCAAGGACAAGGACATAACATAAAACTCCTAAGTTTATTTTTCTTGTCTTTCGTACGAGATGTTATACAAAATTAAAGTTATATCATTCGATGAAAAGTGACAAAAGAATTTTATGTATCTATTTGAAAAAGTGAAACATACAAATATAAAGATATAAAAGTAATTGCGCGAATCATTCTGTATAAATAAATTCGAGAAAGCGTATCAAATCGCAATATTTTCTTTTGAGTTCAACAAATAAATATCTTTTCACAGCTACTGATTTTAATGTTGAATATTATACAATAATTTTTATATATCCATTGCAAGGGATGTAAGAAACACTCTGATTTTTTTTCAGTATTCAGAACATAAAGTCTCATTTAATGTTATGACTATCCTCTCTTTGATCAATACTTCGAATAACAAACATAAATCAAAACAGAATAATATAATTCTAATTAATGAGCAATTGTCTCTTAATTTAATATCGAAAAGTAGCCGAAAATTCAAGACATATTTCTTAAGCATTAGCAAAGATTATATTGGTAACTTATTATCTTCACATGTTCTCAATATTCTCAAATAATTTTAAAAAGAAGATACAAGATGAAATTCTTACTAATTGTACCAATTATATCCTTGTTGTATATTTTAATTTCAAGATTCATATTTCAAAAATTCATATAAAAAATTTAAAAATACATGAAGGATTTGCTTTAGAAATAGAAAAACTAAAAAAAAACTCGTACTGCTCAGAATCTATAAATAATTAGAAGTTGAAGAATAAAATTGTCACAATTGTTCACGATGGTCCTCATAATGAAATAAAATATTTACACAATACAATTGAGTTTCCAAGAAAGGACTTTAAAAGGAAACTAAGATATTCGTATTGAAACATTTTTGACATTCTATTTTGGCTACAAGTACACTTGAAAAACACAAAATAAATTAAATTTTTCACTATTATAAAATTTTCTAAGCCACTTTATAAATATTAAAGAATGCTTTAAAATAAACTCGCAGTTACTTTTGTTCTTTTCAGCAAGAATAAGATGAAATATGATGAAAATAAACATTACAAGAAAGTAACTGAAGATGATTAGTCTCTTCTTGAAAATATATTTGAAACATAATAAAAATCTATTACAGAAATACTTTATTGTGAAGGACCTACAACTATTCATTTTATTATTCACATAGTAATAGATTTAGAAAATTATAATAATATTTTCAAAATTTATGATTATTTTGTAGATTTATGAATAAAATTGTTTTGTTTGTTTGTATCTGTTATATCACTTAAATATAATAATAAATAATTTTGAAAAAGAGAAACATTTTAAACTATATTATAAGAATTATGTATTATGAAAATATATATAAGAATTGTATATTATATAATTGTATATTATATATTACTGTAATATTATTGTATTATATTAATCATTTATTTCATGCAATTCATACAATTATAACTGGTTTTTTAAGAATTCAAAAGGAATTTGAAATTTCTGTTAATTTCTGTTAATTTTTAGACACTTAGATTTTAGACACATTTGATTTTAATTGCACTATTAAATGAATATTACTAATAGATCAAAAAATATTCAAAGTATTAAATTATTAGAAATTATTTTTTGACACACATTATCAAATTTAAAATTGTAACATAAAATAATTAATAAGGTATAAACATACCTGTACTGCTAGTTCCTCCAGAAGTTGTAGAAGTAGCAACTAAATCATCTGAACCTTCAGAATTCTGTGGAGGTGTAGGCGTTGGTTCTGGAGGAGGTCCCTTAATAGGTGGTAAAGTTGGTGGATGCTGTATCAGCGGTCCAGCCGGCTGATAATATCCTGACATTAGATTTTACACATATTATACTCCTATATTTTCTTGTCTTTTAAAACATTAATTTAATTTTCAACATATTTTATAGTTATTTAATGATTATAATTTATAGATATTTATATAAATATTTATAGATAACATTTGTAGATAGTTTACCATGTTGATGTGGTGCTGAAAATGCAGAATGTCTTCGAGGTGACATGTTTGGATGATTATTTTGACTTCCTGGTGGCTGCATGGAAGATAGCGCCCCCAATGGTGTATATGATTTGCAAGGTTGCTCCAATTTTTGCTATTGCAAAAATAACACTTTTTACAAGCTTAATAATTATTATATTAATATTTCTTTTAATTGTTTCTAATGATGTATTTTTGAAAATTGCATTTAGAAATAAAAAATTTTTTAAACATGTAACAACACTAACCTGATCATGAAGCTCAGTAGCAACTGCAGTTGCTGCAGTTTGAGTATGGCTTGTTGAACTTATTCTATATTGCATGCCAGCAATACTGCAATAACCTTCATGATGCGTAGATCGAGTTTGATTAACATAAACACCTTAAAATAAAAATTTTATTCTAGTGAATAGCAAATATATACAAAAAGTGAATTTAAGAAGATTTAATTCAGTACCAGTAATAGTGACATCTGTATCTTGATTTACAATAACAAGTTTATTAGACGGTTTCAAGACTTCATCTTGCTCTGGATTTTGTCTCGATTTTCGTTTCTCGATATCAGAATCATTTTGTTTGCGCTTTTTAATAATTTCTACTTCTGATTCACTGGAAGAATCAGAACTACTACCGCAACGATTTTTTTCGTCTGAATATGACGCAGCTAGAATAGCTGTGGCATTAAGGCTTGCCATTCTTTTACAAACAACCATATCTTTTAAATCCATTACTTCTTCATTTTTCTTCCTTCGTTTAATTATTTTTTTCTTGTTGTGTTCAATATTTTTGTCACGTTCACCCTCATCATCATCAGAAGATGAAGATGAAGAACTTTCTAACATATCCCAATGTTTTCCACGTAATCCTGGCACATTTCTAAGTTTCCTTTTCGGAATATTTTCTTCTGTTTTAGTTTCTATCTTTTTTTCTCTTTCTTTACGAATTTGTTCTTCTTTCTCCTCCTTAGTTTTCTTTTGCTTTTCTTTTTCAGGCTTTGGTTTACAAAACCCACCAAGATAAACTCCTCCAGTTTCATTTTCATATAAACAATGAACCTTAGCCAATGCATTCAAGGAAGCTACTCTATATCGCTTTGGGCCACTCCAAAAACCAAACAATCTCATTCTTCTAACACGTTCATCAGATGGTGAATCAGCTCTTTCGTTTTTCTTAATTTCCTTCTGTTTACTCCTTTTTGTCTCATCATCACCTTCATCTTCTGATTCTGATAATAACGAATTGCCATTCATATTATCTCCATTAATTGGTTCATCTTTCAAATTTGTGTCAACTATATTTTCACTACCAATTTGTTCTTGTTTAGAAGAAGCATTATCATTTGAATTATCTTCACAAACTCTCATTTGTTTACCAGATTCCTCAGAAGATGTTTCTTCAGAAGAAGAAAATATTTGGTTGGTGCTCTCTATTCGCACTTTTACAACTTTCTTTTTCATTATTTTTTTCCCTATTTTTGAAGCACATTTAACAACTTTTTTACTATCTTGCGATTTTAACTGTGATTGCTCTTCTTTATTATTTTTATCAATATCTTTGTCTTCTACTAATTCGCTTTTTATGTTAGTTGTATTTGCTTCTTCATTTAATTCATCTTTATTCATAGTTTTCTTATGTTCATTCAGTGACTTTTCTGTTTCTTTTATATCTAATTTTTTTTTAGATATAACTTTTTCCACAAGTGTTTTTAATTTATCATCCTTTTTTAATGCAGTATTTATTTTATTAGTTTTTGAAGGTAACTTAGCTTTCATATGTTTTCCTAGCTTTGGTTTTTTCTCTTGTATAATTTTGTTTTTAGGAATATTAATATTTTTCCTTTTTGTTCTTTTCATTGCTTCATCTTCTTCACTTACAGATGTTTCTTCATCTTTTACAAACTTGTTTAGTTTAATTTTTTTATCCACCAATTTCTGAACTACTGATAAATGTGATTTTTTTGCTAATACAGTCTTTCTAGAAATACCTTTTTTTTGCATTGACTTTGTCTTAGAATCCTTTTTAGTTCGTCCCAAAGAAGTTTTAGTATTTATTGTAGCTTTCTCTAGAAATTTCTTGCGTTCTAACTTTTTGTCTTTTATCACAGATATTTTCATATTTTCCTTTATATCAGGCTTCAGTAATTTTGAATCTTTCTTTTTCTCATCTTTACTTTTTTTCTTAGCAATTGTACAAAGGATATCTAACTTCTCCTCATGTAAATCATTTTCTTCCGTAACATTTAAAAGTTTTATTTGCTCTTCTACATTTTCATCATCAAATTTAGCACTTTTCTTTTTGTCTTCTATTTTCTCAGGCCTCTTCTTATTTTCCATAAGTTGTTTTTCCATTTTTGTCTTCTCTTCTATTTTTTGTACTTTCTTTTTGTCTGAACTGTCACAGGTATGTTCATCCAAGATCTTTTCATCCGTTTTATCTAATTTCTTTTCTTCAACTTTTTCCCATTTTTTTTCATGATCTTTCATACATTTCTTTTTTTCATCCACTTTTTCAGACTTTTCTTTTCGCTTCTCTTCAATCTTTTTCTTATCATCTATCTTCTTTTTCTCATCAGTTTTCTCTGATTTTTTTTTATCACTTTCTATTCTCTTTTTTGCATCCTCTCCTTTTTCAAGCTTCTTAGGCTTTTTCTCTTTTCTTATATCAGATATAGATTTTTCTAAAAATGAGCGACGTTTTTTAGCAATTGTTGGCATTTTTGTTGCCTTCCGGGCAACTGCTGCCTTTTTCTGTGGCTTCATTACGATTGTTTCCTTTACATTTTCAATTTGATAGGAATATGCTCAATATTTCAAAAAGCGCTGAGCAAACCATTAAAACTACCTAACTGCCATTGTAAAATATAAATATTGTAACTTTTTTCGATCTGATTATATCTGAAAAAATAAAATGTATGAAAATTCATTAACACTTTTTTACTTATAGAGAAATAACGTGAAATATAATGAAATAAATTAATTAAATTGTTCTAAAAATTTTTAATTTTTATATTTTCTTAATAAATAAAACAAAGCTTTTTTACGCGTTGAAAAAACTTATAGAACGCAAGAAAAAAAATTCGATTCTTTTCTTTTTTCTATGCGAATCTCAAGATGACGACGTACTGACACTAGTACTTTTTAGTGTTACTTGAAACGTGTTTACACTTAAAGTACAAGGGAAACAAAATAAAACTTCTTAGTACTGAGCCAAGATATTCAAATTTTACGATAATGACAAAATAAAAAAGAATTACGATCAAGACTGTCGGGTGCGCGAACTTTCATCGACTTGTTGACAAATCGATCCCTTTGAATTTCATTGCTTCCATCATATAACATACATCAGAGAGAGATATATATAAATTTGTTGTTCACGATTTTTAACTAGGATCCTCTTATATTTTGCAAAAGAAATACGCAAGATTTACAAAAGAAAAAAAAAAGTGCAAAATCTACATTAATCATGAAGATAGAGAAATTAAAAGGACAAGGACAACAGGATACCTTTTAAATGTATCCATAGATGGCCACAAGTGGCTAACATAAACCTACTGTACTGATCGATGAATTTGTCACGTACGAAATTTTGCTAGGTTCATATATTATTATAAAGGTCTCTAGTATATATTTTTCAACGAAATCACTTACGTCCTTGCGATACAAATGTAATCGGATAGGAAAAAGTAAATGTGAACTGACGTATAATTTATGTTTACCTTTTAGCGAGCCCTTTTATTCTTACGTACGGCCCGCGAACGCTTTTTTAAACAATAAATTAATATACTAATGCAATAGACTAGCCTGATAATATTTTACTTGAACACACCACCAAGGAAAGCAATAATGCGAAGTTTTATTAATACTTCCCGTCTGGTTTCACGAGATCTAACACGGATTTCGCATTTCTCTCTCCCGAAACACGTATCTCGCTCGACGTCCCTGCCCTTTTACCGTTGCCTTGTCGGCCATTTTCTTCCTCGCGCGGCCCCCCCACTCTTCCTCTTATGCATTTACCAAATAGCAAATTCTCTGTTCTATGCTTTCCTTCACATCTCCACTAGATGGAATCACTTCACCGTTATCACAGTAGTAAAGATTTTTCTCATCTTTTGTTCATAAATTAAGATTAAAACGTAAAGAAAATAAAAAAAGAAAACAAATAAAAATAAATAAACAAGGAAATATTTTCATATGTACAAATACATATAATGTATTAATATGACATAACAAATCTTCGAATTGATTTGTAATTTTTATAGCATTAACATAAGTTAAAATTATGATTTATGGCATTAACAAATTTTGACTTCATATAAATTTATCTGTAAAAAATTTTATCATTTAAAAAATATTTTATTGTAGAAATATACAATTATAATGAATATTATTTATATATATATACACAAATATAAGCTCTCAAAACTATACTTTTTTTTTTAACAAACAAGAATCTGTATTTATAAATTATGTACATATTATATTACGTTTTGGATTCATTAACTATTCTATTTGATATTTTCTTTTACTAAATTACATTTATTGCGTAAATCCCAACAACATTGCTTGTACTACCTCTCCTTGTTGCAATGCAGTTTTTTCTGCTTTACGTCCTGGTAACATTAATAATGCATTTGCATTTTTGCAACTAAGTAATTTACTACTGATTTGATTTCCAGTACTATAAGCTAGTGGTAAAGTATCGGTGTCATTCCATTTTAAAATCGCTCTTACATACTCGGGACGTGGATCCAAATTATAAGATGACATTAACTATCATCAAAATACATATTAAGTACTACATAAATTAATAGTTTAAAATAAATAAATATATTACATACTTTTGCTAATACAATTGTAGATATGGAAGTGTCTTTGCACAATTGTTTTAATAAAGGCAATGCAAATAAATTCATAGTAACAGTCGCAGAAACTGGATTACCCGGTAAACACAATAAATATTTCTTCTTATTTTGAAAGAAACATGTTGCAAAAGTAGTTGGTTTGCCAGGCTTCATGTTTACACGGCCTAAAATTTGAAAGTTTAAACATTTATTATACTACTAAACATTATATGGCAATCACAATTATATTATTAAATGATTATATTACCAAAATGTATAGTAGCATTGAAATAATATTGCAAAATAGGCTTCAACATATCTCTGTCACCCATTGATACAGAACCTGATGTTATAAGTACGTCAATTTGTTGTAAAGCATGTTTAATCTTGTGTACCATAATATTTTCACTACATAACATATAACAATCAAATTTAAATAGCATGTTTTAAATATATGAAATAATATACAAGACTTACTCATCCAATGCAATTCCCATGTCTAAGGGATCAAAGCCATTTTCTTTTAATATCGACAGTAATGTAATTTTATTGCTATCATATATATGCCCTGGCATTAAAGTAGTTCCAGGACATTGTAACTCATCTCCTGTAGATAATACACCAATTTTTGGAAGATCAGTGACAAATAATTTTTTGTAACCACATGCAGCAGCAAGACCTAATTCTATTGCACCAAGTTTTGTCCCTGATTTTAAAATTAATTCTCCTTTTTTAATATCACAACCAATTGGTCTTAAAATAAATAAAAGAAAAAATAACTACTATATTATTGATTAACAACTATCAATTATAATTATTAATGTAGTATAATTAAAACTAATTGTCAACTAAACGCAAGATACCTAATGTCTTGTCCTAATTGTACTTCTGTTATAATTTCAATTTCCTTCTCCTCCATATTATCTGAAGTTCCTTTTATAAGTTTAGTATCTTCAACTTGAACAATTGCTGTTGCATCTTTAAATTGAAAATAATAAGAAAATAATTAAAAATTATTATTTTAGAGAAACATACTGAACGTACCATCCGGAATTGGAGCACCTGTATTTACTCTTACACATGTACCATGTACAAGTTTAATTGCAGTGGCCTACAAATTTATGGTACTGAAATTTTATATCATTTATGTTAAAATACTATTAAGATATCACTTACAGTATCTCCTGCTTTTATTCCACTTAATACTTTTCTTTTGCCTTTTCCATCATTTGCTAAGACAGCATAACCATCTTTAATAGATGCTCTAAATGGTGGTAAATCATACTTAGAATACAGATCACCATCCAATATCCTACCATGGCATCTTTCTAGATCTTCTTCTAATTTATCATTAAAATTTAATGGTTCTATATATTTACATATTAACTGTAAAGCTTCTTCTACAGAAATCATTGGATATGGAGATTCTCTGTTACGTTCAACTATATTAGCTAAACATGACTGTAAAGGAAAATATATATATATATATATTTTTTACACAAACTTATGGTCATATATAGTAGTTAACCCAGATTAAATTTAGCTAATTGCTCGTTTCATTCACTGAATATTATCAATCCTTAAGCTTACTATACATGCACATACATATCTTTTGGTCATATATTTATATTATTGTATTAATTGACAAGTTCTAATAGTAGTGAAGTTTTATTACATGGAAATTTCATTTTCCAAATGTATGTATTTAACTAAAATTTCGTATTTTAGATTCATCATCTTTCATCACAATACCTATCAAATTTTATCTAAATTGATCATTTGTGTTTTATAAAATAAATTACAAAATTTTTTTCAGTTTTTTATAATTCTTTAATTTTCTTTAATTGATCTTAAAAACTATTATATTATAATCATAAATTTTATCTAATATCTAGCAAAAAAGCTATGAGTAAACAAATATAGGAAAATTTGTTCTATATTTGTTTATATGAGTAATT